TAGCTGTAACACTTGTAGGAAATTTAAAGTGCTCCGTTTTGAAGCCCGTCAATATTTATGAAGTTACTTTTTCAATTTAAAGCATTCGCTTGTTTCTCGCACTACCATTAATTTTCAAAGGTTTCTCAATCTCGCTTGCTAAGTTACACATCTGTTCTCCCTTCGTTTTTTCATGTAATGCATTTCCATCTGCCACATGCAACGTAGACCGTTGCGAAACACGTCAGGTGGTCTGCCAACACAAAGTCGGTTTCCACCATCTGTCGCATGTTGAACACCACCTGTGTCAGAAGCCGGTATCTGACGGAAAAATATGGTGGTCATTTCAAAAGTGCATGATAGATTCGCGTTATGAAATATGTCTGGCTTATTTTTTAAAGAATATAAACCAATCTGAGTAATTCGGCGAACTTCTGTTCTGCCTGAGAACCGAGACCTGCAGTTTAATAGCACGGCACCACACCAAGGCAGATCTCGCTCATCTTTTACCACGCCGACTTGACGAAGACAAATATTTTGAATTGATCGAACGGATTCTCGGTGCTCGATTTCGCTATGTGCTTCGCGGTTGCTGACGACGAGTTTGGGTTTTCGGATTAAAGCAACGTCGTGTGACCGACCTTACTTCCGCCAGATGTTTAGTCTTGAGTTTGGAGCCGCCTGCTCGGAGCCAACTGTGTCTTGGTTGACTACATGCTCAGAGGTCGGGCTAACACCAGCAGCTGAGTGCAGGCAGTCGTGTTGCAGCATACAGGTGGACTTGTGCCGTACTGCAGGTGTGAGGTGTTCACCAGCTTTCTCATTTATCTCTCCGGTTTGCCGTGTCGTCTATTTTTATTGACGAATATTTCAACAAAATCCCAAAGTTAGTAGTATCTTTAGATTTATTTGCCTTGTTTCCCGTTTGATTTTTTTCTTATATTTACTCGTGGAGTTAACCATACAACTAAAAATTTTCACCTAAACGAATTACTCCACTTTCTTAATAAATTGTACGATTAACCTGCAAGTTAAAATATATTTCTTTCAATTGAGTTGGACAAGCTCATTGGTCGTGAATATACCTTAAAAAGTTTCGAATATACCCTTCGTGAATATACCATTAAAAGTTCATTGCCCTGTTGAGTTGCACTGAACACCCTCTCTTTTGAAGTGCACGTGTCAGGTGTTGAATCGAAGTTGCAGAGAGAGTGCGTGGGCAGTGGCCGAAGTCCGCAGGTGTTCATTGCTAGTTTATTTTCTTTGTACACCTTTGGTCTTCCAGATAGATTATTGAACACATGTCGGGCTTACCTCTAGTGAAAGTAGTTGCTTCTGGCGCCACTAGTGCAATTCTTCTTCCCCCCCTTTGTTTCATCGTCGTTATGTCCGTTTAACAATTTGAAATTCAAAGCATAAATGATTTGAATGCTATGTAGGCAGAGCTATGTTTTTGCCGTTTTTCGAGCCTGCATGTTTCAGCTAGGTGGTGTTATATAGAAACTTGAAGTAAGGATGAGAGTCGAAAACAAAATTATCCTTAATTGTTGGTAAGTTAGTGCAGGAATGCCCTGAAACTCCCCATGTAAGCTTGTCGAAATTTTGAGGTTGAGATTCTTCCAGGAGGGGGCTTTGTCTTATGATGAAGATTTTTTTGAACTAAGAAAATATTCAAAAAGTAAATTTGCTAAATAGCGGTTAAAGAGAAGCAGATAGCGTACAACTTATCGTAGCGGTTCAAGCTAGAATCAAATTTCAACTCGATCTGAAGCCAATTATCATTTTTCTTCAATCCTTATCAGTTTTTAACTGTTGACATATTAATAACTGAGAGTTGAATCTTAAGATGTTAATGGATTTCTATATCGTTATGTTGAGCTTGCTGGCAATGGATGGGAACTGAGATTTTGTATGGACGTCTCCGCTCACGGGCGGCGATGTCAAGGAATGTGCAGCACTGGAGGAGGATGGTGGCTTCGAGGTGGAGGTGGAGGGCTGGTTACTACTGCACGCACCAGCAGGAGGTGGAGGTGGATGGAAAGGATTAGCAGGAGGAGGAATAGAGAGGAGGGGGTTAGGAGAAAGCGCCTGCGGTCAGGAATGCAGACTGGGGAGTCCTGACTGAACTCGACTCTCTGATTTAGAGGTCGCTAACCGGCCTTGTATAGCGGCGGCGATGGCTCCGGTGCGCTGACTGCCGACAGCTTCTCAGGCGTTTCGTTCTTCAATGGTCGCCGGCGTCGCCTCGACCGGCATTCCATCACATCGTTGGCAACTTCCCGACGAACGCGGGCTTGCATTAGTATAGTATGCAAGTGTCGGCGCTTAAGAATAGGCCAAGCCGACTCTTGTAATTTTCGTGACTATGTTGACAAGAAATCTAAAAACAGGCATTACTCAAGGTTTCTCACTCACAGTTTTACAACCAATGTTTGGGCCAAATTTGATCGACTTCTTAGTGAACGCTGACACTGCATGTAGCGGTTATGTATGATGAATTGAAGAATGCCCCGAGAAATTCGCAATTTTCATGATAACATTTGTCAATGAAAGACCTCTTCTGAATACATACTCTGAGAAATCATACCTCGGTAGCTGACCTGAAAGAACATTTTTAGCTGAGCTTGATCCCTTTGCCTTTATGCCCTCCTGATATAACAAGTGAACATTAGGTTACCTATACATTATTGTATGCATAACTACACTGCTTGATGTGAAGTACTGAGAGCGTTGTAACCTCGTGCAGGCTGTCCTGTGGCAGCAGCGGCCCACCGGCATCACGTCTGCCTGCGGTCCCTGAGTGCAACGACTCGCCAGACCTGCTGCTGCCTCGGCGACGCCGCTGACTGCGGAATTATTCGCACTAAATCAAAAGTAGAATATATTCCCCTGTTTAGCTCTTTATCTACTGACGGTAACTCTTGTTATTAAATATATGCAAATAACATTAATTACTGTTACTTAAGATGCAGATGAAGGGTAATGAATCTTTAACATTCTTCGATGGATTTGAAAGTTACTAGCTAATTCATAAATAGTTTAATGTGGAGCAGAGAGAGACTGTCTAAAAATCACAAAAAATATAATCTCGGTGTTGAATGTATTAATTCTCGATAATATCACTATACCCGTGAAAGTTGTTCTCACACTTGAATGTAGTTTAAATTTTATACACATTAGGCGCGACTCGAAAAAATAATTACGACGCCAGTTGAATTTTAAGCTGTGACACTGTCTTCCCATTAAAGATTGCTAGTGTTTACTGCGAATAATTCACAAATCTTAAAATATTTTATCGCTTTGAAATATTTGAAGCAAAACTTTATTTGTTTCTGTAATGTACACCATGCTGCACGTGGATCTGTTATATCATGGCTCTTTTCTTCGTATTGATCATAGCAGGCAAAAGTTGAAGGTTCGTTTTGTTTTTTGTAGATCTCTGTGTGAACAGTGCATAAAATAATACTTGTCGATTTATCATTAGAATGGTCTGAGACTCAGTAGGCTTCAACTCGATACTAGTTAGTAACAGCGTCAAGAAAATTGAGCAAATTTTTTAAAAATAATTTTAATCTCTGTAGTACTCCAGTTTTTTGGTTACATATATCTTTGTAAATAGAACTATTGCTACTAATTTTGATTATTGTTTCTTAATCAGACAATTGAAATTTTTAATTAATCAATACTTTTTAATATCTGTACCCAAGCTGCCGTCGCCGTTAGATTGGAACATCCACATCGAGGTCTGTCGTGAATTCAACTGCGAAAAATGTCTCTATTAAACTTGCGAGTTTTACGTCCGTGGTGCTTGATAAGTAATAAGAAATGTCTCATCTAAACGTACTTGAATTTTTTTTAACTTGTGCTCACATGCAACAATAGAACTGCCACGTCTTGGCTCCTAACCTCCGCCATCACTGTCAACCTGTCGAAATATCTTCATCTGCCTGGAACCCGGAACGGAACATACCCCAGAAGATTACGTACCAAACTTATCCCATCGACCTACGTCCATCCTCGTAAATAAATCAATTAATAGTAGTTTCATTACTTGTTGATGTTTACAGTAGTGACCCAAATTTTGTTTAGTGTAAGAATCGTGTGTCGCAGGATGTTCGATGCGCTCGTCAACTCGTCGTGGACCAAGTTTACACAAAATTATCCTCTGGATTAACGTTCTGAACGCATTCATCTCAACGGTCTTCGATTCATGTCACGAGACTGGTTTTCATAATGATTTGACAGATGTTTATGTTTCTGAGATCATTGTGAAAGCTGATTTCGTTCCTAATGCCGCGAGATTCATCAGCTGCTTGGATAATCCATGAAGAACACCGCATTTCCGTGGAAGTGTTGATGCAGTAAAAGCAAGACCTTCGTCATATTCCTATCTGTGAGTCATTCATTTTAATAAATTGTAAGTTTTAAATTTAATTTCTCGCCATGTTTGTATTGATGTGTTCTAAATTTTTCAGGTAGCGGGACAGTATATCTGGATTATCTTCCACCAGCTGCGGGCTACGGCATTTTGTTGTTCCGAATTCGAAATTTGCTCCTTCGAAAAGCCCCCATTCTCACGTGATGGTCGTTTCTACCGAGCTTGCCGAGTTTATCACTCGTTAAACACTTTTGTTGTTTTGTTCTACTGCATTCGGTATTTTTCTTTGTCAAGTAATTGGGTTTTATTCGCTATAGTCGCCGCAACTAATTCATCCAGCGCACAAATTCAATCTATTGCGTCTATTTTCTGTAAAATCTGATTTTGTTCTGCTACCACACAATTCCTCTACTTCTACGCCTACGAAAATGATTTTTTTTGCAATAGCTTGTTGCAAAAAAAAAAACCTGTCTCAATTCTCATCAACTCATTCAGCCTCCAATACATCATTTGCATACATGCTCACTATACTAAACATTGTCTATGGTCTCTAATTAATCATTTACATATTAGCTGCCCGTACTCTACTATTTCTGTGGTCGCAACCTTGTCTTTGACAGAAGAGGTTAATAAAATGATCGCGCTCGGTAGAAAAGGATTATTTTTAGTAAAATCTACTATGTACATTTTATGTGATCGAGAGGAACTATTGTCCATTGTCCGATGGGGCTTCAAGTAGTTAGTTTGGCTAACACAAAATTGCATAACATCGTCCGAAATTACGATTCCATTGAACTGGTTGAGTTCTCGCCAACTAACTAGCTTATATCGGCTGCATAAACTGTAAAGATTCACTTTTGTTACAATACAAATTGTCGATGACAGTAAACAACCAATGTTGTTAGTGAGATCTCCATGCACTCCAGAAAAAAAGTTGAGGTAGTATGGTTGTGAAAGAATTTCAGGCACGCTGTTCAAGCGAAAGCAATTCATGTTCGATTAAGTTTTAGAAATCGGTAAATTGTTCATCACCTAATCAGGTCTTACTCGTAGATGTCATACAGCATTTCAAGTTGTGGTCTTTGGTCTCAGAATTGGTTTCGGAATTAATATTACTGCGAAATTAGTAAAACGCGCCTTTCTCTCACATTGCTTCAGTTCGGAATATTTTCCTCACTGTATCACTGATCACTAATTGTGGATTTTTCTATCTATGTTGTGCCTTAAAAATATCGACACTAAATACGAAGATCTAAACGTATATATGAACGTTTGCTCAGAGGATTTAAGAACTGATGCTTACGTAAATAACTAAAGGCACTTTCATTTCGTCGCAGATGTCAACTTATTTTTTACACTCTGATGAAGTTTGGATGATCCCGAGGCCGTTCTGTAAGAGAAAAAATTAGATTTTTATTTGTTTAGTATCTGTCTAGAGAATTATTTACTTGAATAATTCTATCATGTGCCTCTTAATAATGCAGTTTATAATCGTGCTAGGCAGCTAAAAACTAGGCTAATGAATGGGCTACCGGATATCTGAAAGGTAATAAATTCATGAAATATTCTGTCCCACAACTTCAGCTTCCACAAACAATATCTCGATCATTCAAGTTGAGGTAAAGTAGGTAAATTATTATTTGAACTGCCTTCCACAAGTTTTATAATCTATAAATAATGTACAGTTCTTGGATTCTTCTGTTCAAACCGTTTTGCTCCTAGTTTCAGGCTAAAATAAAAAGATCTCAAGGTTCTCGTTGAGAATCATTTGGCCCAAAAAACAGACCCACAGACATAACTTGAGCTAGGCGGTTGTACGCACCTGGACCCTGTCCATAGGAACGTTAAATCTCATTGAGCTTGTGACAACCACAGACTCATGTCTAAAGATGATGGGACCAACTCACTTGCGCAGAGTCCGTTGTAGATCTTGAAGTCGTCGAGGGTGTAGCCGCCGTTGAAGGAGGCTCCCTCGACCACCAATTGGAACCTCGTACTGGCGAGCAGCGGCACCTGGCCGAACTGCCAGCGTCCAGACAGTGCGTCCAGGCCGATGTTGTGGCTCCAAATTTGCTGGTGGAAATGAACTCCATATTAGAATCAGTTAGAAAATTATGGTTTTCTTAGCCTATGATGATACCAGGAGGACACAAGGGAGATTCTACGATGATGGCCGAGTCTATCTTGATGTTCTGGCACTCAATTGTTAGTACACATAATAACGTTTGGATATAATTTATATTTTCAAAAATGGTGAAATGAAGAAAACTGAAGACTTGAAATGAAGGTATTGAAAAATGTTTTTAGTGTTCAGTCGATGATTTGGCATGCTCGGCAGAGTCAAAAGAATCAACGTTGATTGGTTTCGTGATTCGCTAAATATGTATTCGAACTGCACGATAGAAAAGCTAACTTTTTATTTTATTTTTGTGATCTTGCAGAGGTCTGCAATCGAGCACCACATGGAGGTCCCGTACAAACGGCGCGTTCTATTAATACATAGTATTAGCAGCTGATATGCTGTATCATTTGCAATTTGTCTGAGACACTGCGATAATAATTAACGTATTAAGTGGGTGTACTGATAGACTTTAACACAGTTCCGCGACATTACCAGATCATCTAGTCTTGGACTGTAAACATTTTTCTGAAAACTGATTTATCTAACTGAAAATCGCCCATGAAATCGAAAGTATTCGCGATTCCCCACCGCTACTAGTAACACGGATGCTTCAGGCACTTAGGTTCCCGGAAAGATGGTTTATATTCAGTGTTGTATTTTCCTCTTCAAAGTCTCACCACAATGTCGCTGCCGATGCTATTGATGCGCGCACCATCGTCCGTTTGTTTCTGGTACACGGCCAGTGACGTGTTGCCGTCTGAACCGAACCCAGAGAACCAAAATGTGAAGCAGAGCGGTTCTCGATCTGCCGAGGGGTCTATAGCTGGGGAGATCAGCTGGAGCTTCTGACTTCGAGAGTTTAGATTGAAGACGTCGAAGTAAATGTAGCCAACTGTAAAGAATGTTTATGAGTGTTTTTCTTTTCGATTAAGCGGGATAATTTTGTAAATAAATAATTTCTTGTCTTTTTCAGTAATAGGACAAGCAAATAATACATATGTACTCCGCAACCTAGATTCAGTGTTCTGCCTAACATATGTTAATTAAGAATTGGGAAAGTCGGTTCGATGCCGTTCCTGCGTTTTAAATTAGAGATTGGTAAAATGCGGACCAAAGTAGTCCCATACGGACCTTAAATTACGCCAAATTGAATGCATTTTAGACGAAATAGTTGAATATTATATTCAACTAGCCCTCTGCCTCAAGAAGCTTCCTCTAATTGGTGACAATTTCCATGGTCTACTCTAATCATTGTAATTGGTGACAAGATCCATGATCTACTCTAATTTCATCTGTATGGTCCCTGTTGCTAACCCTGAGCGCCGTATGTGTGGTCTGTCATGGACACGGGACGTCGGCTCGGCGACGCGTTGTTCCAGTAGAAGTTGGAGTCTGACGTGAGGTTCTGCCAGCCGCACGACCCTCTAGTGAAGGTGCAGTCGCCTGCCCTCACCACGGCCGCGTCAGGAACGGCTGCAGCATAGGGAAAATGAGTTATTTTATGACATAAATTAACCTCCATTCGCCTAATACAAAATAATAATGTTTGAAAAATAATATAGCGATTTCAGCTATGATTGATTCATGTAGACCTGTAGCAGATTCTTAACCACCCGGCCACCTTGCCGCAGAAATTTTACAGCTTGTTGCGGGTTTCGAACCCCCCAACTCGCTGCTTCAATCTCGATGATTCTAACCACTCGGCCACTCCAAGTTCTATATGCTTTAAACATAAATAATAATAATAGCGTATCTTAAAGCCAGATGAGTTGGGTGAGACGTTGAATGCATGATGCGTTGCGTCACTACGGTATTAATTGCACGTTAGAACAAAAATGTTTCTTAAAAGATCAGCGAAATGGCATGTAAGTCAAGGCAAAAATTCCCCCTTGTATGCAAATTGTCGCCAAGCTGCTTATTCTCATATCAGTTTTATTAAAGGTGTAGTTTATAAGGATGTTTTTACTTTGGGCACTTTCTGTTCCCTATTGACTTATCTCAGTATCATTCTATGTTATTGTTTCATTGAGCGTAATTTCGCCTATATCGCCTGTGAAGCTTTTTAGCTTATATAGGCAGGCATTCACAAGGAAGCAATTTGTATTTTTTTCTTCAAATTTTTATGTTCTCTTGTTATGTATATTTTTGTGTGCTCCTCTGTGAATAAAGAATAAAAAATGGCCTTCAAGAATGTGCCTGGGGTTTTTTTAATTGAAATTTCATTCAATGTGGTAATTTGGTCCTGCATTTCAAGTTAATAATTGATAGACAAGCTTTATACTTTTCTGCTATAGACAAGATACGTGATAGGAGTGTACACTAGTCGTCATTGATACGGAGTAGAAAACTTTCTTTCAAATAATTTGTTGCTAATTTGCACGGACGTGATGTATCATCGCGAATTACATTTTACAGCGTACGCTTGTGATTAACTATATTTTGTGATCATTCGTGAAGACACGACAAAAGAAACAGAAAAAAACACTGAAGATACTAATTGTCTTTTTCCTCGGAAATTATGCCACTTTATAATGATTTGCCAATGATGCCCATTGAGGCAACTTACTGGGACAGTTTCCGTCGAATATTGTGATGTCGTCAACGGCCAGCGTGCCTTTGCTTTTGGCGGAGCCCCAGACGCTCTCTAGCACGACCTGCCACAACCGAGAACCTTGCTTAACAAAACAGACTTGCATTATTGCTTCTCTTAATTTGAATGTAAATTGAAATGAAGAAGCAAACGATTTTTTGGAAAATTATGACAAACAATATAAATTCAGCCAAGAAATCCAAATATATCGTTTCCCGTTATGCGCCATAAGAATAATTTGGTTGAAAATACAACATTATAATTTTGTAACTAAAACATTTTCAATGATTGGTATTTTATTTGATCTCGAAGCCTTCGTCCGCCCGCTGCGGCTCCTGTCCAAATAAAGCATTATCGGTCATTTTCTATATGAAAGATAATGTTTGACATAATATTTTCATTTTAATAGAAAGACATACAGTAATTGATATTATATTTGACCTCAAAGTCCCCGTCAGCCCGCAGCGGGGCCTGAGCAAAGGACCAGGTGAGGCCCTGGAAGTTGTGCAGCGACCAGATGGGCGTTAGGATGATGGCCCCGCTCGCGTCCTCGCGTTTGATGAAGGCGCTCAGCGAGCCAAGCTTGGTTTCTAATTCGTCGGTCAGAGGTTCGAACATAAGATACCTGCAAAGAAATGGTTAGGCAACCTTTTATCAGATACAGAAGAAATAATGGTTCAGAACTTCAGGGCAACCTTTTATCAGATACAAGAAAAATAATGGTTCAGACTTTCGGGACAACCTTTTATCAGATACAGAAAAAATAATGGTTCAGAACTTCAGGGCAACCTCTATCAAATACCTCAAAAAGTAGCATGTGGTGACTGAAAAATGTTGATATTGTTTATAGTCAAATTCAAAGGCTAAAAAGAGCGACATTCTGACCAGAATGAGAGGCACTTGACTTGTCGCCTCCCCGTCATGACGGGCGAGATCAGCCATGCTCGATCACCCTCCACCTTCTGCTCCGGCGACTCCAGTGCCATGTAGTGACCTGAAGCACGATCATTGTCAATTACTACGTCTCTTGAGATAATGGGAATAACTTTTTCCTAAGTTTATAATCATCATTGTTTTGATATTAATCAAATACGTGATAAGCGAAGCCGTCTGAACGTTTTAATAACGAACTCGATACAAATTTTTGATTCGGATGAGAATTTAGCTTTGTATTCGCAATATATTATTTTCATAACATGTTACGATATAAAACTCAGCAAGCTAGTGGGGCTGTACACTGACCGTTTGGTTTGCCCGTGGTGTGGTCAGCAGAAGGGAATGAGTTCTCCGTCGACTGGATCCGGATGAAGTCCAAGTCGTCGAGTCGCTGCCGTACGTTGGGGTTCGCCCAGCCGCACAAGCCTTCCTCAAACGTACAGTCCCCGGACGTGGGGGGCGATGCGCTCGTTGGCAGCGCTGGGGGAATTGTGGTCATGAGTTTCTATTATGCGATGAATTTCATGCAAGCCCCTTTTAGGCAAATTACGTTGCAACAATGCTTATTACGAGTTAATTTCCTCGAAAAAACGTTGAAACGACGTTATTTCAATGTCAAATATCTGGTGGGTTCTTGATTGAGAATTTATACTTGAGTTACCTAAATAGAGTTATCTATTGTGTGCATTCAATAGACTTGTCTATTCAGGTGAATATAAAATTAAATTAATATTGAAAGTCAGGTGGGGCTTGAGGTGGAGCGTTCAAGGAAATCAATTGTGTAACAAGAATCCAATGTTGGAAACTCGATGAAGGAAAGACTATTTGTCCTAGGAGCGCTCCTTCAAATATTCTTTTCAGAACCTAATGTAACTCTGTCATACACAATTGGCAGTACCATCGTCAAAATATCGGTAACAATAGTGTAACTCAGAGCCTATTTATGGAAAATATTTAGATGCATAGATATGTCGGAACATCCTTTGTGTCGTTGCTGTTTATTTATATTAGAGCTGATAAAAATGGGAGTGGAAGTGAGGCGAACCTATTCGTAAACAAGGAAGTAATCAAATGAATTTAATATATTCGTCCGTCCTGACGACCGACGAATCCTGCTCAGTCGTAAATATATGTCTAATTACTCTGCTGATTATTTGTTAATAAATATGTTATGTATATGTTAATAGAGCCACTCACTGGCGCAGGGTCCTGAGACGATCGTAATGTCATCGAGTGCTATGTCGCCCACCCGTGGGGTCCCGACGGTGCCTTCGAATACAATCTGCACGCGAAGAACTTGATCACTAAAAATAATTAGAAACAGGGAGAGAAATAAAAACAGAAGGAGAAAATAATTAGAAACAATGCAGTAAATTCCCGCACTCACTCGGGAGATCTCTGCTGTATTGACTAATTTCTGGCATTATGATAAATATTTTTCCTCTTCGAATAAATGACTCAATGTTATTTGATTAGTTATATTTGTAATAGATAACCAAAACTAATGGAGCTTCGTAAATGAAACAAATTTCCTCATGAAGAAAAATTTCAAATGGCGCTATGATGTTCAAATAGAGATGTGCGTTAGACACTATCCTTTTAGCAAATCAGAAGTGATGAGAGCAACCTTATGTATAGAATGTTAAAACGAAGTAAAATACAACGATCTTAGTCAACTTTATACTTTTATTGATAATTTGATTAAAAAATACTTTCCATAGACAATTTCTGAACGTAGGAATGACGTGCTATGTATGAGTTGGGCAATCATTCGACGAATATGTCAGATAAGTTCAAGAGCTATCATTAGAAACATGACTAATACCAGAATATTAGATTTGGTAATATATTAGAGCTATACGTACTTCGGACCGCTACGGAGACCGACCTTAAACGGGGTGTTAGACGACAGCGGCAGCTGCGCCTCTAGCCACCTGGCGCCCTGGTTCCTGGCTAGCGCCCACACCACGCGTTCCCTGCGCGTGACGACGTCTTGCAGCAGCACGCGCAGAGAGCCCACGCCACGGCCAGACATGAACGTGTAAAACCGCATGCACGGAGGGTTCGTGGGGTCTGCGAGGTACACCTCATTTTATGGCACATGAAGGCTGCATGAAGTTACAGGTCATGCGAGATGACTTTCCAGAGTATGTGTTTGTCGTTCAATTTATTATTGAATACCAGCTGACTTAATTTATTTCAAATTAACTTCGATTTGCACGTATTTTCTGGTAAACTTGTGCAAGCCGCCATAATTTGAATCACGAAATCTCCTATTGATTCTAATGTAAAATTTGTACAGAACTCTGTGTGAGACTCAGTGCCCCGAAGCGAGCATGTCACCCACCTGTCTCCTGAAATTAAACGCCCCGAAGCGAGCATGTCACCCACCAGTCTCCTGAAACTAAATGCCCCGAAGCGAGCAAGTCACCCACCTGTCTCCTGAAACTAAACGCCCCGAAGCGAGCATGTCACCCACCTGTCTCCTGAAACTCAATGCTCTCGAGCCGCGCGACATCCTCAGGCCGTCTAGGGAAGTCAGAGTCTATGTAGACGTAAGCGCCGCCCGTCAGACTGCTGCGCCCGCTGTTGCGATCCCTAGGTGGACCCGTGATGGGGTTCTGGGTACCGCGACCCTGAGCACAAACGTGGATTTTATGCGAAATTTTATATGCATTGAGTATTTAAAATGAAACACGTATGATACTGAGGGTCATACATGTTAGGAATATTATGTTCATGAGGAATGACTGGGGATGATGACAGCAAATCATAAAGTAAGTTGAATCGAAACGCTTTGCAATCTTGTGGTGAATAATTTAAATTGGATCGATCATCATAAAGTGCTACAACATAAAGCACGACATATATATTATATATCCTAAAAATTCTAAATTATCACCAGTTTCCAGTCAAAGTCATCAGTTGCCGCATTGTTCCAGTCGCACATGCCGCCTTCGAAGGAGCACAGACCGATACACTCCTGCCCTTCCCTCACCCCCAGGTCGTCCACTGCGATGTGTCCACGGAATATGTTGAATGGATCTACTCCCTCTACCGGCACTCCTTCTAGCACCAACTGAAACAAAAATATATCTTAAATTGATTATTGAAGGGGCTTGTTGCTGCGGGAAAAGTGCCAAGTTAAGTTTTGTTTGCATGAACACTACTGTCATTTCAAAAATACTTCAAGCTGAGCAGATTTGCAAAAAGAAATTAAAATTGTGGTCAGGGCAACGTACGAGACAGCTACAATAAAATCATTATTATGATAGAATATTATTATCATTGAAATTAACAAATTATTATTATTATATAATTCACCACTACACGCACCGTGTGGTTATCCGTGAATGTGTAGAGTACTTGTCCTTCCTTCCAGTCGCCGCGAGTCGTGTCTCTAGTCTGCCAGATGACCATAGACTCAGTGTCCTGCAGGTTGCGCACTCGCACCCTCAGCTCGCTGGCGCTCAGCCCTTCGATGGCATACCAAAACTTTAGGCATTTGCCCGACGCGCCAGTTGGCTCCTGGGCATTAGATTCCATTACCGCCATTCGTGCGTCGAATCCAGGCTGGCTCGAGGTTTCGTGGAAAGCATAACCGCCTGAAAAAATGTATTGATGCTGAATTCACGTATTACTGCTCAAAGTAAAATCACAGGCAGTAAAGAGATTTTTGTATATTTTATTAATCACGATCGAAGAGCTTAGAAATAACTTTTTAGACAAAATCATGTTGTTTCCAATTGGATTCATATATCTAACCCAGTAAGAGACCAGGAAATGTTCATAACCAATTAAAGTTTTTAAATTCAGCCAAACATAGCGCGATTTTCCAACATAATTATTTTTTTTAAGAAACCATATTGAATTAATTCATTTCTACTTGCTTGCTTTGATTTTGGGACAGTCAAGACAATTATCCATTTGGGCTTCCTCCATCAAGCTATTGACTTTATCATCCATCCGTTAACCAAAGGTTGCCTTTTACCTAAATTGAACGGGATCGTAAACATTTGAGGTAGTTAGGTATATTAGAGGAAGTTAGGGAATCCCCGGTCGTGTTCTGGTGATGTCATGAATGTTCAATTAAGAATGCATCCGACTTTTGTGTAACGAGGACACAGCCTACAGGCCAAAATATGGTTAATATTATATGTTATTATAATGAGTAAATTATTGATGAGGGAATGATATAACTAAACCATGAAGCATATTCTGTTGAATTAGTTGTATTATCCTGCTGTTTAACTCAGTACCTCTGGGGTCGCCCGACGTGTCGTTACGAGGTCCGCCCACCCAGAGAGAGTTCGCTCCCATGGACAGCGTCCACGACGTTAATTGTGATGGTAGCGAAGATCTGATGAGATAAAGCCTTAATTATAGCCGTGATGAAACTCTCATGCCGAGATAAGGATGAAAGTGAAGCTAACGGCCTGTGAACACCATTCGTAATATCAGTTCAACTTACTAAAAATTATTCTATATGTTTATACAGTTTTGTCCAAAATAATGGATACAAGATTGATCCTTAAAATTAACAAAAATTTATCTGTTTAAATTTGGAATGAATTTCCTCGGTGCCGATGTTCGAAATTTTATTTTGGTTCAAATCGCGTTTGAGTTTACTTTGTTCAAATGTGAAAAATTATATTACTGTTGAAAATAGGTATTATGAATTATATTCTTGTTGAAAACAGGTATAAATTCTCCAAGTTGCTGACCGGCTGAGGACCTCGTCGCTAACAGGCCTCCAGGAGCACCAAGTCGTCGCGTCCTGAACACCGAAGTCGCAAATGCGGCCTGCAACGGCGTCGTGGAGAGGATCACCCAGCTGCCGGCCCTGGCGCTCCAGCTGACACGTGGAGAGAGTTAGTAAGTTTAAGCAAGTTAGTAAGTTATAGCAAATAAGCAAGTCGAAGTGAGTTAGTAAGTTGAAGCAAGTTGGTAAGTTTAAGCAAATAGGCAAGTCGAAGTGAGTTAGTAAGTTGAAACAAATTAGTAAGTTTAAGCAAGCCAGAAAGTCAAAGCAAATAAGCAAATCGAAGTAAGTTAGTAAGTCTAAGCAAGCAAGTAAGTTCAAGCATTAGTATACTCAGTAAATATTGAACGAGTGAATTTCTTGCAATGTATCTAGCAATACAGAGATTGATAGGATCGTGAGAAATAACCGACGAGAAAAGAATGATTAAGTCATGAAAAAGCTGACGGACATATTAAAAAGTCATGTAAAAAATTATTCGTAACCCATATTACGTCTAAGTTTTTAATAGACAAATAAACTCATGGCAGCTTTTGTGAACTGATGACGGCTTAAAATAATCTTCAAGAAATAAGAAAGCGGATTGAATGAACGAATTGCCTTAGGTTAATTGACATATGATCGTTACTGGTAAACAGCGGACATAGATTAACTTAACCCTTATTATAGTTTAGTATTTCTTGACCCCATATTATTATTCCATCATTTGACGAACCACTTTAAGCAAGGGACGAATAAATGTGCTCTAGAAAAGTCGGCTTGTAAGTAAGCCATGCACTGTTACACTAAATTAACCGCGCTACAGGAAGCTGTTAGGACATAACAGCCACTTCCTGTTGCTGGCAAGCAGCTCATAATTAAATGGAATTATCATCATCTCGTGAAGTTTCACTACATCAACCGACAAGCGTTTAGAGGTGCCCTACTGCCTCCATTCATTATACTATTTTACAAGTCGGGGAAATGGTTGATTTTTTTAATCATTTACACTCAGCTGTTGAACAGTTGAAATTTGAGAAAATGTATCGAAAGAGATATGGTTAAGTGGATTTCGAATGACTTTTGAATAATTGTTTAATTTTGATTCATCATTCATTTAAAATGTACAAACATTCCCGAGTTTCTACCTTGATGGATGTCCGAATGCTAACTGGAATTCGACAAAGTTGGTCAGAGCTATCCATATATTGACTTGGATATTATTCTTATCATAACCATTTAAATTTGTTCATTTTCTAACTTTCATTTAACTAATTATCGATTCCATTTACAATTAATGATAAAAAACACAATGGCCAGCATGCCAATTAGAGATGGTGCAATAATAAGACACGGATAAGCCACTAATTACATGGGACCCGCTTCATGATTATTCTGGTGGTAAATTACATCGATGTCATTCTTTTCTTTCCTTGCGGCTGATATTCTTCTCGAACTGTCGCCAAAGTTTTAATTTGCGGCCAATGGGAAGCGTCAGAAGTAGAGCATGACTCCGGTGTAGGCTTTCACGGCGTCGCGGCAGAGTTTGTGTATCGAGTGCAGCACAGTTTTGTGTTACGAATATTGCGATGTGTGGTGAGTAGTACAGTATTGTGATGCATGGTGTGTTGCACAGTGTTTTGTTGCATTGTGAGGCATGATGTGCACTATAGTACTGTGTTAAATTGTGATGCAAGTTGCACTGCACAATATTATGTCGCTGCGTTGCATGGTATGCAGTGCCTTTTTTAGGAGTGCAATAATTCACTAAAATGTCCCTGAAAATATAAAGTCGCCTAATATACATTGTTAGATAAATGAGTTTACTATGGGATCGGACCGTTAATAAAAAAAATATCCATCTTACGTCAAATATTTTGCAATTTTTAACAAAGCGGAAAATTATTCATGTGATAAATGTGAGCTGTCGAGACAATTAATAAAATTTGTACTGTCTTTTGCGACTATTTATTTTTATGGTTTGTTTTTTGAGTTTAAGAGCATAAGAACTTTTACATTTTATCGCTGGCCACGTGGCCTCGAAGTGGTTCTTTACTAAATTTTTAAAAAATTCTGTCCCTATTGCAGGTCAAAATTCATTTAAATAAATCAAATTGCATTATAGATCCTCACTTTTTTTTAACATTTCGTGCCCGCATTCCACGACATAACTTCCAGTCATCTTCATTCATTGTCGTCACTAATGTCCGGTATTTTGTTATAATTATTTTATTATTTATCATACGACCCAATTGGGTAGCAGGAATATTCTCCTGTATTTTCCTTACTCAACATGACAGACGTTAAATTCGATCTCAATTACTGCTTCATCTCGCAGGACATACGTTGACTTGTTTTGCCCATAATGACGCACACAATAACTGTTAGTTTTTCATTTTGCCACGTAATGGAGGATCGAGAAAAAATTAATTGAGAGTCGGTCTTGTCGCCTGTGAAATTAAATGCAAGGACGCAGGCTTCGAAGGACACCAATCGATCAAGATGCTTCCTGCAGTCACGTCAACGACTCGGCATTGTCGGAACTAGGATAATGCGGTTACTGATTTCATAATATTTTACTAGGATATGAGCGATCTTTTGAATGCGATCATTTATAGAATGCAAAAGCAAATTCACTAGTACATTTATAACCGAAATTTGTAGATAATAAATAGATTTTCTCATTCATTCATCAATGATTGTGAAGAGATGTGGTTTTATCCTCAGTTCCTGACGTTATGTGACGAGAAATTTCTTTTCGTAACAGAAACGACTTTTCATATAAGAAAATGGACTAAGTTGATGGAAGAAGAATCCATTAGAATCCATTGATTATGTCTCATGCGGTGCAGAATTGTCACATTGCAGCAATTTCGCTCCTAATAATTACTTTCTTAAGACATGAATTAATATAAAATAAAATTTTTAGCTTTTAGAATTCAAAGAAAGACGAGCCGCACTGAAGAGACTCGAGTAGCATTAAAAAACACGGAATTATTCATTAGAAACAAACCCCATTAGAGAGATACGTGCCACATTACATGGAGATATGAGCCATTTTAGAGAGACACGCGTCACTTCAAAGAGATCCGAGTCACTTTAGAGAGATACGCGTCACTTTAGAGAGATACGCGTCACTTTAGAGAGATACGAGCCACTTTAGAGAGATTCGAGCCACTTTAGAGAGATACGAGCCACTTTAGAGAGACACACGTCACTTTAGAGAGACACGCGTCACTTTAGAGAGACACGAGTCACTTTGGAGAGATACGAGTCACTTTGGAGAGACACGAGTCACTTTAGAGAGATACGAGTCACTTTAGAGAGATACTAGTCACTTTAGAGAGATACGAGCCACTTCAGAGAGATACGAGCCACTTTAGAGAGACACGAGCCACTTCAGAGAGATATGTGAGAAATTCCTAATTTCTCACCGTTAATTTGTATTAGGTTAGAGATTATTTATTAAACTATAAACCCGAATTATCTTGCTTCTGGAATCCGCTTCTCTGAATTCAGCCGAAGAATAAGTGTTAGTCTAAATCAGGGGTTCTGCCGCGGATCTTAAACAGTCCTCATCAGCATCACTTATCGATTGTATCAAATTATACGTGCCGCCAGTGACAAAATCTGTGTTAAATCAAATCCAATTCAAAGTGGTAAATCCAAGCTAGATTCAATTCAAAAGATTAACATTTATGCAGTTATCATTGCCGATTGCCAGTTATATCAGCCATTCAACCGATTGTGAACTGACCTGCATCAACGTTCAAGTATCTACCATCTTCCTTTAAACCTTTTTCTCTATCCCTTGGTTTGTATGAATGTCGTTTGAATTTCGTTTTATTTATTTCTTTTGCTCTATTAAATTCATTTATTCAATCTGTTGGGAAGTTGGACTTAGTTTAAGTGTTACAATTCAAATTAATTCATATTCAATACACGAGTCACTTTAGAGAGGGAACGAGTCACTTTAGAGAGACACGAGTCACTTTAGAGAGATACGAGCCACTTCAGAGAGATACGAGCCACTTTAGAGAGACACGAGCCACTTCAGAGAGATATGAGCTACTTTAGAGAGACACGCGTCGCTATAGACTATAGACAGGTACGCGCTACATTAGAGAGACGCGGGGAACATCTAAGAGCCGGATGGGCGGAACACGGCGCTCGTGTAACGGAACCTGCAGACTCTTTCTCTCGCTAAGTAGTGTCTCCAGTAAAATGTTTCAGTTTTTTGTACTTCGTAAAATAAGACGAAATAGTAGTAATTGTCTAGTTTTTATTGTTTATTTGTTCAATGTGAGTTACATAAAAGCAATTTTTATTCAATTGCTGGAATGAAGCTACAATTCAGGCTTTTGTGCTTTGTGCTTAGGCATTTGTCGAGAAGAAATGAAAAAACTGGAAAGCATATACTCGTATTTTACTGCCACATTCTCAGGTTGCTTCCTAAATGAAAGTAAATCTGCTAGGGCTGTTAGGAATATTAAACAATAGGAATTGAAAATCGCCCCGAATTCATTTTTTATTCATCATAATATTAAAGTGATCTAGATTAAATTAAAAACTTTCAGAACATTGAAACGCAATTGAAAAGTTGATTAAAATTAGGACGTGTGAAAATCTCACGGACGTTTTAGAATCCTAATACTTTTGCTAATGGATCAAAATTACTGGATCATTGTTATCCAGTCATTGTTGCAGTTAGCAACTCAGGTTTGGGACATAATTATGATCCAGACTATGAAGTCTCCAGCCAGTCATAGGTGGATTACTACTTAGTTTGCGTTAAGGTCTCCAAGCACTAAAACTGGCAAACCTCGTGGAGGAAAATTTAAGTCAAAAGCAAATTGCAGGAGTCTGGCCCCTTAACCCAGAATAGCTTGCGCTGCTACTGAAAGTGTTCCGCGTCATCCGTTTATATGCTGGATCATTTCTTAACGAGAACTAAAATAATTAGTCAGATATCGACCATCATAGGAGTATTATTTATTGAAACATGTGCTCTCATTCCTTACAATAGAATCAGCGAAGATCTTCGTAAGTGATATGATAATTATTATCATCTGAGCCTTGCTATAAGATATTTGAGGCTAGTTTCGCACAAAGTA